TTCACCACCCCCGGTGGCGGCTGACACCTGGACCTGGAGTCTGCCGTGACTGCGAGGGTTAAGCCCAAGCCACATGTCAAGCACCACAAAGATGTCCAGACAGCAATGCGCAACGTCTGTCCCCAGTTTCCAAACGATGCTCCTAGCGACCCATGCCGCGGCAAAAGACACAAGCCATAGCCGCTGTGACACTCCATCTAGCACATTTCTCCCTATGTGGACTGCTTCTCTCAGGTGGGGTGGGGCCCTTGGACCGCCGAAGGCGCCAGAATCAGAAACAGGCAGTATAGTCACTGTAAACGCACTGACAAAACATAGCAAAACTGCAACGGGACACTGCTACCAATTATTCAAAAGATTCAACTACCAACCTACCTCAAACCCCAAATCCTTCTAAACTGTCGTTCCAGCAGCTCGCTCCGAGGGATCTGAAAGAAGCAAGGTTGGGCCGGAAGCGGTACCAGCCTACTTGCGGACACGGGTTCTGAGACTGCTATAGCGCTCTGGAGAGATCAATTGACACTTCCGGTTTCTGAAGTTTCGGGTTGTGGGTTCTGGGGTTTGGGGATCTCTATGTGTACATATAAACATATGTAAATAAGTAAATAAATAAATATATATATATATGTGTGTGTGTGTGCGTGTCTAAACTACATATGTGTGTATGTATGTTTATGCATATTTATATATGCATATGCAAATACACATATATATATATGCGTGTGTATATCTATATCTATATATACATATGTATGTACATACATGTGTGTATGCAGGTATGAATACCCACACATACATACATACATACATACATACATACATACATACACACAAACATACATACATAAATACAAATGTATAAATATATATATATGTGTGTGTGTGTATAAAGGTATATTATATATATATATGTATGTATAAAGGTATATGTATATATATATATATAAAGGTATATGTATATTTATATATATATATGTATGTACACATGTTTTGATTGTCTGCCGAACTTAAGGGCTGAGGTTGTCGGGCGTTGGATCTTGGGCTCACGGCCAGGGCTTTCTTGAACTTCACGTCGGATCATGATTATAGCTATTGTTGGAGCGCGAACTGTGGCATTTCTGTGGTGCTGGACATGGACATGTTCTGAGTACCACTTACTGGAGATACTAAACCCTTTTTGGAACCCAGACTCTGCGATACTAAATCCTTTTGCAACAGGCTTTCCACTTAGTATCCTAAACCCTAAACCCGAACCCTGAACCCCTAAAAACCCTTAAATCCCAAACCCCGAACTGTGAACCCTAGACTATCTCTCGCTTTCTCTCTATGCCGCGCCATCCTGAGGGGTCGAAGCCTGGTTGCTCTGCTGCTCATTGCATGGTTGGGGGTTCCTTTAAGGCTCCCTTTAAGGGGTCCATAATACGGTCTATATGGATTCGACTATAATTAAACATTTGGGGGGGGTCCCGCTACTACAACTGCTGATGTAAGATGAAGCTCGTGATCGTAGAGATGGTGGAAATGCATCATCAACACTAAAATCAACATCAACATCATCGTCATGGTTATCATCCCAGCAACGCAACGAGACCATGATTTCCCTTGTCTTCCTACTCCCTCCTCCCCCTCCTTCTCGTCCAAAGCTCCGCGTCTTCATCATCAAATGCATCATCCCCGGGCCGAACGACAATCTGTTCCGTTGCTACCATTTGAGACTGTGGTCGTATCGCAGCCGCCGGTGTTGGTAGTGATCGTTGCGGTGGTGATGGTGATGGTGGTGGTGGTGGTGGTGGTGGTGGTGGTGGCGGTGGCGGCGGCGGTGGCGGTGGTGGCGGTGGTGGTGGTGACGGCGGCATTTCCGGAGTTGCTGGTGGTGTAGAGGTGTTGGGCACGGTAGTGGCGGTGGCAACTTCTGAGAGTTTAGGGTGGCTTTCCCTTCTTCGTGCTTCACAGATGCTCAAACGTGGTGACTCTGGCCTTTTGGTGGGTCGAGATCAATGTGCTAGTTCCGAAGCTGCAAGGCAGCTTCTTCCTGATTCCTTATGGCGATCACTGCTCCTGTTCTCGACTGGGCACGCCTTCGCGCGCTTTCGGCAGAAGCACTGCAGCCGGGCAGCACAAGGGGGCATGGTTTTGCGGAAGAAGGTAACGTTCAAGGATGACCTATTCTTGTGTAGGCTCTTATTTGCTACCCTGATGACAATATTATGGGAACCCTACCTTTGCCTCATATGGCCTAGCTTAACTCCTGAAGGATTCATCGCAAGGATCTTTGGGTTGGAAAGCTGGGCAAGTAGCAGCAAACCTTAGCGAGTTGCCGTGAGGTTGGAGACTTGGGGTTGGATCTGGGATTTGCCGAAATCAGGATCAAGTGCAGAAAATGCAAAGAGGCAACATTATGCAAACCCCAGATAGTAGTTAGTAGTTAGTAGCCAGGAACCTTATTACAGATCCATACTACTTAGAATGCCTAGAACTCCATGTGTCAGAACTACGAACTACCCATCTACGTTTTCGAAGGGAAGCTTCCAAGCGAGCTTGGCTGCGCTTGCTTGCGGGGACCAGGAAGAAGTAGCTTCAACTCTCCATTTAAGTTTTCGGGTCTCGGGGCTTCCTCTACTTCCGGACATCATAAGACTCGATCTACCATTAGGCCCCTGTGAGCAGAAAAGGCAGCCGGATCCGTCCTTGAGGCGTGTCATCTGCTCGAGAAGGCAAACTGCAAACGTGTGAGGCGTTACATGCCCAGAGACCTGGAATGGGGGGGAAACTCCACGTCATCAAGATGTCTTGAATCAGCGGTGTACGACGGTAAGTCTAACCATCCGCAGTGCATGGCGACGTGACATGTCTCAGCACACGTTTACACTGACATGTTACACTGGCTAGCACCAGCGAGACACCGGGCAATTGGTGCATGTATACAGATCTCTCCAGCTGCGTATAGCAGGCTCCTCCGAACTTGAGACTTGAGACTGTGTACTTCGGACCGAGAGCCCGTAGCTGTGGTCAGGGAGACCACATCGATCTTCCTAGTTGAACCTTGAAGGCTAAGCGGCGACAGTGCAGTTGAAGGCTCTGGGCGATGAGACACGAAACTGGAACGGTAAAACAAATTGGATCAAAAAGGCCTCTATCGCACCTCTGAGATCGCTTTCGTCAGAGTCTTCTCCCTCTCATATCATATCATGTCATATCATTATAAATAAACATATTTATATATGCGCATGTAAATATGTGTAACATATATATATGTATATATTATGTTCATGCAAGTATGCGTGTATGTATGTATGTATGTATGTATGTATGAATGTATGTATGTATGTATGTATGTATGTATCTGTATGTAACGTATGTATTAGTATGCAAATGTATGTTAAATGTATGTATACGAATGTATATGTATGCATATGTAGATATATGTATGTATATGTATGTATGTGTATGTAAATGTATGTTTACGTATGTATATGTATCATATGTATGTGTAGGTATGTATGTATGTATGTATGTATGTATATGTATATGTATATGTATATGTATATGTATATGTAAATGTAAATGTATGTGTATGTATATGTATATGTATGTATATGTATGTATATGTGTGTATGTGTATGTGTATGTGTATGTATGTATGCATGTATGTATTTATGTATGTATTTATATAAATATGTATGTATGTATGTATGTATGTATGTATGTATGTGTGTGTACATCTGCATTTTTTCTTACAATATATAGGTACACACATATATATATATATGTATATTTATGTTTATATACACATATCACACATGTATATGGATGCACTTCTCCAATTTGCAAGGCTGGTGGCTGCAAGCCTTGCACTCGCGCAGCGGACCGGAGACAGGATCCTGCAGGCGGTGCAGTCTGAGCAAATGCACAGGCCCAGCAGCAACAACGACTTGGCTTCCGAGCACATCTGTGCAGTAGCCACGCTGTACTCAATGCTGTAAGGCTCCGATTCATGGGGTCCGGGCATAAGGAGAAATCCAACAAACATCACTTCCAGTCTTCTAAGAAGATGATGGCGATTCCGTTCGCAGAAATATGGAATGGTATAGACTTGCCATCTTGGAGCCTCCACTAGAGGGTATTAAAGCAGCTCTCAAGCTGTCGGTTCGTGGGTGCTTTGAATCAAGTCTCAGATCCCAGTCCCGTGCAGCTGGATCCGGCAGGGGTCTCAAGATGTCTCAAGGTCACGAGGGTAAACTAGAAATTACTAGAATACCAGGCAAGATTGTCAGCAGCATGAGCGTTTCTGCCTGCATGCTCTCAAACTACTGCATGCAAATCGCTGACTAAGACGTCGTGTTTCCGGTTTTCTGCTGTGCGTGGCTTACATGGCTAGGGGTCGGCACTGTGCAAGTCACTCACTTTTTGTGATCAACGCGGTCTTACGAGTGCCGCAGTGCTCACCGCTGTGAAACATGCCTTGTGCAATATCACCACATAGTAATAATACGCCTTTTCTTGTTGGTCTCAGTCTTTGACTTTGTGATTTATTTTGTCATAAGGCATTCTTTGAAATACCATTGCTGTCCCTGTTATCTCTCATACCAGTATGACGGTTGTTATTGAAAATGGTCTTGCTGCTACTGCTGCTACTGCTGCTGCTGCTGCTGCTACTGCTACTGCTACTGCTGCGGATCCTCCTACTGCTGCTGCCACTACTATTCCTACTACTACGACCGACCACTTATGCTGCTGCTACTACAACGACGACCACGACGAAGACGACGACCACTACAACCTTTTGTTTTGTTGTTCCGATTCCGATTAAACTCTAGACTCTCCCCATCATGCTCGCAAGGCTGTCTCAAACTGTCTGGAAGCGAGCCATGTAGTAAAATCGTCCAGGGTAGGGACATGTTGCAGAACATGTCTGCATTTGGTATAGAAAGCGACAAGTGTGAATGTATGCTGCCTGTCAAAAAAGATCCATGAGTCCGATAACCTCTTCACGATCCGGCTCACTTGTCCTTGCCCCAATTCGACCTGCAGGAACATTCACCCCGACCTCTGCCACACTGAAAAGCGACATGCTGTATTGGCTCGAAAATAGATCCTAAACAGTAGGATTCTTGCTTAACAGGTGCAGTCAATTAAGCTAGAGGTGTCTGTTTGAGATGCACTCTCGCTCCACAAGCAAGCACTGAATCTTCGCACACTTGCCCCAAGCCTCCGTGAAACGCCTCAATCCTAAATCCTAGAAACCCTAGGCTATAAGCCCTACACACACAGTAACCCTATGAAGCTCAAACCCTACACACCCACGGCCATGGCACTTGATGGGGACACGGTCGATTTGCTCCGGCACGCGCTCGACCTTGTACATGCCACGGGCAACGGACATGATCGGAACTCCGGGAACCTCGGGTCCAAGATATTATTGGACATTTGGGGTTGAGGGATCAAGGTTTAGGGCTTGTGAAAACAACACGAAGGGTGTTGATTTTGTTGCTGCCGTAACGTGCGTGGGTGCATGCAACTGTGGGGCAGCTGCGAAGCTGTCTGTCACGCACTGCCTTCCTCGGCACACACTGTACGAGCATGACTGCTGCCCCTGTGCATGTTCAATTAGTCTTTGATATTGCTTGGCATCTTTGACAGTCTGGACGTAACATACCGACTAAACCAAGAACAAATCGGAGATACCCTCGGCTTGCAGCGGAGATGCCTTTCGTATTCTTCGCTTCAAGTCCTCAAATAAATCCCTGGTGAAAGTACTGCATAAACACTGTTAGAAGGAATGGCAGCAAACTATCAAAGGCAGGCAAAGAGTCCTTGTCATTGGTGCAAACTATGTAGCATCGATGCTGCTCGACGCGCGAATGGATACAGTCGTCTGCATAGATGCCCTTGTGCTGGCAAGTCAACCTTTTGAAGCCTGGGCGTGTTTTGACGTTGGCTCTAGCGTTGCTCAAGCCTAACTACCTCTCATGACCGGGTGCAATTTCATGAGAGCCATGCTGTCTTTGCAGACCCCGGTTTCGAACCGCAGTGAGATCTGATGAATGTCGCCGCTAGGCGAGAGTGCTCCAAGCTTCTCTGTCATGGGAACTGCCTTCACTGATTCACTCCCCTGGTCGCATGAAAGACAGTCCCAACACAACTTCGTGACAGAGATCCGAAGTAAAACTTTGAAGGTAAAGGTTTTTGAAAACACGTGCTGGCACGTCCAGCGGTTTGCCTGTATGTTAGGTTAAGATGTACGGAGCACGGCTCAGCCGCTGGAAAAAAACAACAACAACGAACCAAAGCTTGGCTACATGAAGCTGCTGCCATGCTGTAATCATACTCTTCGAACCAGAACTATCTCCGTGAAGTGGCGCGGATCCTTCGCCAGGCGCAGAGCCAGCCTTGCCAACAGGGTCGCAGGCTCAGGACGGCAACGTACGATTTATGATTCAGTGGGTTTTACGGCTTCGGGATTTTACAACTTCAGGTGTTGAGGGATTTTGGATGTTAGTTTCTGATTTATACTTTATAAACTTGCCAACATGACTCATCTAACATGCACTCTCCAGCCATCCTTGCAGTGACTATTCTGAAATCTTTTTTTTCAGCGAGCGCCCGCTGGATTTTGGGGCCTGTGCGCTCTTTCACATGCCACGTGCAGGGCTATAGAGGCAAGAACACATCAGAACAAGCACGAGATGACGTAGTACAAGCAGAAAACTCGGCCTAGACCGTAACCTTTAAACTCAAAAGCCTTAGCTCTAAACCCCCAAACCCTGAAACTCTAGGCCATCACAGTAACTCTCATGTTGCCCTTATCGGCCATTTAATTTAAAGGAACCCTTAACCCTTGACTCGAGACACCATGGCAGCCTGTGTCGCGTGCCCATTTTCTCAAGCTCAGCCATTACACCTGTGCAGGATTGTGCAGGGTGTATATAAGGGTTGGGTGTATTTAAGGGTTTAGAGTTGTGTTGCTATGTTCGTCATCGTGCACAATTCAAACGCGCCGGCTAGCTGTGTGTCACTCTGCTGCGACATAGAACAAAGATGAAGCGGACCCACTGCCACATGTAGAAGCGTTCTAGCCTCCCTGCCTCGGGTATATACCTGCTTCGAGTCACTTATTTCAAGAGTCCAGGTGCAGTGCCAGCCAAAATATCGGGGATGAGCCAGTAAACATTCTCCACCAGAAAACGAATAGCTTGAGCCACCAGCTTCAACGAGCATTGAATTTAACAGCAAATCTGGCCATTATCCCACGGGAAATCCTGGCTCTAAAGTCTAAATGCACTCGGTACACAATGGCGATAACAAGGCTGAGGATAATGAGCCGCTGTAGTGATCTGAGCAGGACATATGTGGAAGAAGATGTGAAAACACCTTTCTGAATGCATCCAAACGGCAATCAGTGATGCAAGGAACGCATTTCGCTAGCAGGCATTCCATGGCAGATTTGAAGATGTCCAGCTTCCTGCAAGGGTCGATGGGTGGGTTGCTTTGCCCAGCACGCTTGGCTGTGAAAGTGTTTTTTGCTCGTGCCGGGCTGTGTCTGCATGAGGGGTTGGGAGGTGCGCCCTACGTCCGGAATCACGTGCTCAGTCGTGAGTGTACAAGTTTATTGCAAACACTGGCGACAAGAAGGAAAGAGCACATGCCTTATGAGAGTTATGAGCTAAGCAGCTAATTACAGACATCACAAGTAGTTACACGCCCAACATTTGCAGGAACATGGGACAACGCATGCTGATGAGTACACCTCGGTTTTATGTAGGTACTGATACGTCCAAACTACTAAACCCACAAAGCTTGTTGTAGCTAGCTGCCTTAAGCCCCGAAGCCCAGTATGCGGTTACAACTTAGAACCCTTAGAAGGAGGACACACTGCATAAAGCCCATCAATACCTCCTCGGCTCTTTGTCGAGGACACTGTTAATCAGGACCCATGAAACTTCAAGAGCCCTTGACTCAATCCAAGAATCATCTGGATGGACATGTTGAGAAAGTTTGTGTCCAAAAGCCTCAGGGGGCCAGCAAGGAACCACCCAAGGTGGCTGTCGCACCAATGCTGTTCTTGAAGGTCCAGCGGTTTGGATTTAGCGGTAAAAAGCAGCAAATGCATGACTACAGGTGAAACAAACGCCCATAGAACAGATGACATGCTGAGGATGGTCTTTGGCGGCCGAATTCCATCATGACAGTACATGTGGACCCTCTGTTCGGGAATCGGCCGGAGCCTTTGCGTCCGAGGTATGATAAGTACGCATGCACGCGCTGCTAACATAGAGGAATAGCTAGCAATGCTATGTTTAGTGGATTCCTTGTTACATTAAAGTATAATATAACCCTAAACCCTATTCTAATCATTACGTCCAGTACATTACTGCCATGAATGAAGCAAGCGCCAAGGAGCCCCACCAACTTTCTGCAAACTGAACTGCAGCGTCGCGTCACATGTGCATAGCATAAACGCGCAGAGACGTTGCGCAATCACTGGTCTGAAGATTGAACTTAAACCCGGATTCAGGAGAAGTGACAGCTGGTACGGCGGTTTCAAATTGCTGTTGTACTGGAAGAACCTGAGCGCAGGGATCCAGGAATCTCAGACTTCGTCGCGGCCCAAGGGTGTCGATGGAACATATCAAGACGGAGACTGTAGATGCTGTAATCCTGTTTGGCATTGGTATGATGAGCAAGCTCACCAAGGCATCGTGGGAGCACGACCCTCAAACATCTATGAAGCATTCATACGACCGCACCCTGGCAGCTAAAATCTGTGAGCAACAGAATATGCTCGAACTCTCTTCCACTTCTCTTCCTTTACACCTATCAGAATACGCCTGGGAGCAGAGACACGGGGGCTTCTTCCAGGGGAACCGATCTCTGAGCACAGAACCGATCCCTAAATGCAACCGGTGACTGGGCTTGAAATATTTAGACTTCAGGGATTTAATATATAGAGCTATCAAAATTGGAGGTCAAGGGATCGTCGCTCCGATGGGACAGCTGCCGCGACGTTTACTACTCTCACTGCTCAAACCTTAACCAAACTTCAAGCCAAAGCCACTATACCGACTATACTCTAAACTCTAATACTAAAACCTTTACACAACCTCATAAAGCCCTTATAAGACTTGTCAGACTTGTACCCCGATCTGAGGCTCTCTTTCGCGCTGCCCAGTCACAACGAGGAGTTCGCCTTTGGTACTTCTCGGACCTCTTCCTGCTGAGGTTTCCTCTTCTTTTTCCTGCCACGGGTTTAGGGTTTCTGGGTTTTGGGTAGGGGCTGCTCTGAGGGGCTTTAGGGTCTCAGACTTAGAGCTTATTCAGGATTTCTGGTTTGAGGGGGTTCATGTTTGGCGAGACTTTGGAGTTTCGGAAAGGAAGATCTCGAGGCCCAAGCCCTAAACCCTGCTTATTGTGGCAACTTTGAAGCAATTCCTCGGCTTTGGGTGGCAGTGAAATGTCTGCAAAACGGATATTTTGATCCCCTAGGCCCTGGTACCTAAAGCCTCAGCCCTTAAGCCTTTGGGATGTTGGGCAACCCCAAGCCCTACGACCATAGACCCCTAGACCCTGAACTAACCCTAGACACCAAGCCCGCAAGCACCGAGGCCCGAGCGTCTTGATGACTGCTTTGGCCTTCCTCGGCTCAGTTCGCACTATGGCACTCATGGGGCAAGCACAATGAAGCTGCCGGTTGACATGCTGCTGCTGATGATGATGATGGCGACGAGGGCGACGATGATGATGATGATGGTGATGGCTCGACCACGCTGAGACTGAAGGTGAAGGTGACGCTGGTGATGGATGGGGATGGTGGTCATGACAAAGATGATGCTAGTGCGGTGGTGCTGCAGCTGATGATTACGGCTTTAGTTCTGATGGCTTGCTAAGTTAAAGTTGATCAGAAGCGGTGCATGACGATGATCCTTATGAGGATGCAAATAATGATGGTTCTTGCAAGCTGCTGCTTGTTGTATTACCACGACAGCGCCTTCGGGGCTTTGGGCACTGGGCTGGACGCCCGGAACTCCAAACACATGGATGCAGAGGTATAGGGCCCGCAATGCAGACTGCAGTAAAGGACGATCGGATTTCCAAGACCCCGTGCAGTCCCAGACATTACGGTATGATGCACCTCAAAGTGCTACTTTCGGCGAAAAACTACTTCGGGGTTTACAGCTACTGGGTGCTAGTGCTAAAGGCTCGGGGATCAAATTTCGAATTGAAATTGGGGTTGGAAGTTCAAGCAATGCTGCCTTGAAAAGTGCCGACTTGCCGGTTTCGACGCTCACAGTTTAGGTTGGGTTTATGGTTGAGGGCTTAGGGTTCAGAGGACCCTAAACCCTAATTGAGGACAGCCCCATCTGCAGCAAAACGGCCTTTGACCTTTAATTACAAGCTTCATGAAATTGCATCCGGGTTGAATGCCCTTCGTGTAGTCTTCACACCCAGGCATTAAACGGGGTCAAACCCTGCCTGTAAACACACCCTGTTAGCCTTAAGTAGTCTCAAATAACGCAAACACCAACGCCTGAGAGTGATACAGGAGCTTTCATAATCAGAGCATGCTTTTGGTGTATGTTATAACTATATTCCAGTAAAGGGAAAACTATTATCCATTGCAGTACGAATTCCCGAGTCTTCTCTTACTATGCTCCGAAGCCATCTGGAAGTCAATCAAAGAAGCGACTCCGGTTTCACCCGGTCGTCACTGGCACTGAGGCGCTTCATGGCCAAGCCTACCTGCTTCTTGCGGAGGGCCTGGTCAGGGTTCAAGCATTTTTAACGGGTTGCTACCAGTACTTCTTGCCAGCCCATTGACGCATCACTACCACTGTTGTTACGCACCCACTGACAACAACGACTGCACTTCTCTTGGTTGTCACTAAGATGGCCGATGGTTGGCAGCACATACAGAATGTAATCATCGCGATTTGTGTTGTCGCACGAAATGACTTCGCGTTGCTGCTCACGTATCAGCTTACCATGCTGTTCATGGAGCCTCAGCCACTGGATTAGAGCATCTCGTGGCCACACCAACACAATGACGACTACAATCACACGAAGGGGGAACCCAACTAGTGACTAGTTGCGATGATAACGAAGACGACATTGGCAGCAGTGCCCCCCAATGTTTCGGCTAGCCTTCCGCTGTTTCGTTCCCATAGCTGCAATGGGCACTTGCAGCAGATGTCTTGAGCCCGTGCTGGCAAACGCAACAACTGCTTGTGACAGCCCAACGGCTGAACAGCTTTCGATCCTGCTCGGGGCTGCCTGCACGTACTTTCTTGGCAAAGGGAGAGTTGCTTTCAGTTAACTCACGAGGATTCTGAACACGAAAGCAGGCCGCTTTGCCGAGTACTTTCATGACTTGCCAGATTCTCCCTCAATCTTCTTTCGGTCTGTGACTAGTGCCAGCAAGTCGATGTACTTCGTCAGGTTGCGGAAGTATCCTTTTGTTGTTCATGCCAAGGCTCTCGGCCGTCTTCAGACAGTCGCTTTCCAAAGGAAGGCTAGAATTACCAAAATCCACAAGAAAGCAGCAAGGATGGAGTCCTTCGGCCTTGTTGTCGTGGATGCGAGCCTAGGTAAGACCAGGAGATCAGTTAATTTGCTGTTTGTTTGACGGAGAGTCTCTTACTTGTTGCAATCAGCCGTTTCCTGCATACCGCACGGTGGAATCAGAGAGACAGCATTACACTTGCAAACAGAAGACGTAGACACCCGAAAGCGTAAGACCCGGAACCCCCTACACCGTTAGAAAGAGACTGAACCCTAAAATCGTTTAATCCAAAAACATCATGCATCTTTTCTTATACCTTGCATTTCGACAGCTGTTTAAAGCAATAGTCTCGAATCTTCCGAATGGATATATACGTATGCATATTTGTATGTATATATATATATATAAATCGCACCTCCGACGACTAGAAACAAGGCTGGTACTCACTGCGCAGGTTCCAAGTTTACAGACAGGAAAACCATTCCAAATGAATGGGCTGCTGTTGAGGAATTTACCTTAACTTAAGTTATCATCATAGGAATATCTAGAAAATATTAGGTTTTCCTTTATGGACAGCGATTCTTGTGATGCCACACCCTGCTTTTCTTATGCTCGACCTGGCATTTTGCTTTGCTTGACCCTGGTTTTCTGTATGAGTTTTCTGTATGCTGTGACACCTTCCTTTATGCTGACCTGGCTTTGCTTTATGCTCGCTCCGGGGGCTGCCTAGGCTGTCCTTTTGCGAGCCTAGCTCTTTAAGGGGCGGTGCCAGATGTAGTGCGTAGTAGTCCCGTGGGCAGACACCAACACGCCTATGTACAGAGCGTAAACGGTCGACTTCGCAAGCACCCTTTCCAGAAAAAAGCACGAGTGGCTGGTGTTGGGGCCGATCTCAAGAAAAGACCGCGCGCAAGCGCCACCATTACTAAATACGGTGCTTTGGTTCTTGAAAGGAGCTGCTGCCACATCTGCCTGCATGCAAGGGAGGCAGGCACATGCTATGAAACCAGAGCTGAACCAACAGATTGCGAGCTGAGCCACACAAGTCATATGATGGGTATCGTGCAACACACCTTTCCCGTGTTAACATCTGCGATGGAGAGAAAAGCCAAGCACTTGAAACGAACGAAGTGTGAGCCGCGTGGATATGACAAGTGGAGACATAAGTTTGGAGCTCACTTCGTTGAGAAGCTGCAGCTGCGAGGTGAGCGGGCAGTATACGAATCTGCAACGACATGCGCCAGGATGTGGATGAGTGTGCTTCGTCATCAAGTCCCAACTCCTCCCCCTCCGAGGGCTCATGGCCAAACGAGCAGCCGAGGTATCCACCGGCCAGCCCATACACTTGTGCGGCCTGTCTGGACTTGCCACTGAGGCCTTTAGCCCCCACGCAGAAAACTGCAGATGAGGCCCGCTCTTGTCCAGATCAGTCTTACAAAGACTGCCCTTGTGGTCGCCAGAGCACAAGTCATGCTGATCCAATTCCTGGCGCATGTCGTTGACTGTTGATTCCGTTTTGAGGTAAGCCCGCTGATTAACCTTATGGTTGCTGAGTCGGCTGTCCCGGGTTTCTGAGTTGCCTTGATTATTTCTGAATCATGGTTGCTGAATCGAGTGCATGGTGACTGAAATCAGCTTCACCGCATACAGGCCAGCATAAGGAAAAAGTCAGGCTCGCCAACAAGGAGAGGGGGGCAAAATAAACAAAATCAGATTGGCATAAAATTGACACCAGTCTCAAGCAAAGAAGCAGTAGGGCCCAGCCTCCCCACCCTCCCACCTGGCCCACGCAACATAACAAGGAAAGGGGGCAGCAAAAAAACAGAGTCAGATTGGACCTAGAAGCCGGTAGCATAGAAGGAGAAACCTCACGCACAAGAGGGGAATCCATGCGCAGAAGAAAAAACCTTGTCGACAACGGGATGGAGACATGGAGGTCAATCGAGACATGCAGGTGCACATCATAAAATTTCAAACTCTCAGCATAAAACATAATGCCCAGTCCTTTCCTGATAAGAGTAACTTAATTTAAGTTCCTTAACGGCAACCCAGATGAGCCCACAGAGCGAGAGAGAGAGAGGCCATATTTGCGGCTTTTCAACGCTCCCCGGAAAGGGACCGTAGGCCCCTGACTGCTGGACGTCGTCTGTCTCTTCCTGATCAGCGGTATTCAATTTGTATAGGGGCTTTGGGGGGGTTTATTCCCCTCCTACATAGCAAGGACGGGCCCGCATTGCAGGGTAAGTCAGCAGAACAGTCTATGGCAAAAGCGAAGCAAAGGCTATAGGCTTCAGGATTTAGGGTTTTAGGGTTTATATGCTTGATCACCAGCTGTCAAGGGTGTTATGCTGCTGGCACAAGGCATTGCAACAACATTGACAATAGCAGCGGCAACTAAACGGAACGCAGAAGGCTTGGCACTGCAGCAAAGTGAAATACTTGCTGATACTCCCAACACCCTGGATGCAGCACTGTTTTTGGAGAACCCTTTTCGACTCGGACACGGGTGAACCACAAAAGGTACAATTCAGGGGCTATGAAACCATTGAGCTTCAGCTGACCCTCCGCGAAACTTTTGAGCCTGACGTTCGGGCCTTGCTCATACTATAAAGCCTGCCCTGCACCGAGAGCCCTATATACCCGCTCTGAAATGATAAACTCTAAGCCCTCTAGAGCCTATAGACCCCCGCAAGCCGGAGACCATAGCTCATCTCATGGCTTGCGCACCTGCTCCGTCCCAAGCCTCGGCTAGCCCCAACCCCCCAGCTACCTACTAGGGCCCTAGGGGGTCTAGTACCCTCTACAGTAGGTACCTGGAGGGTTAGGGTAGCTGTGGACTTTTATGTAACTAGCGCTTTTCTAGCTTTGGGTTCCGGGGTTTCGGATCGAGGATTTAAACACTTGGCAACGCTTGGGGGTCTACGCGGTAGCTGTGGGAATCCTGACCAAGAGCCCGCACGTAGGGGAGCCGTAAAACCTTAAATTAAAACCCTAAACCAATGGATTAACCCACCTATCTCGGATTCCAGCCTTCGTAAGGTCAGGCACAGCTGGAGGTCTCGGGTCTTCTGGGGTGGCTCAGGCCATCGCAGCTCAGGCACCCATCTGCCAATCTAGATACAAGGTTAATACAGTTATTGTACTCTTGTTGTTCAGGCGGCTCTCTGCCTCAATCCGCCCTCACGCATGCACTTAACCGTTCAAGGGGTGGATACCGCTGCATGTAATGGACGTAGCGAGACAGGTGTAACCGGTACAAAACATAATTACGCATGCACATCATGAGCAACAACGGCTTGCCTCTTCTGCAATTCACGGATCTGAAAGTCACGAAAATCAGTGTCCCTATACTTGTGCCAAGCGTGCATGTCCATAAACTTAAGCTCTCAAAAACACAAGCAGCCCAAGGAGCTCGGGCAGCCGCCTCGGGAAGAGAGTTCCAAACCTGCATGATGCCTAATGTCAACCCCCTTTCGATAGAAGGTTAGACTAAAGATTACGATAAAGGTTCTAGAAGGGTCACCAGGGGTAGTGTAAGGGATCACTCAGGGCTACGAGAAGGGTCACTTTTAGGGTTGCAACAAGGGTCACTACTAGGGTTAGCACTAAGTTACTACTTTACTGACCTCGATACCCTCGCAAGAACTACAACAACAACAGCAACA